CCACTGCACTCCAGCCTGGACAACAGAGTGAGATTCTGTCTCAAAAAATAAACAAATAAATAAAAATTTTAAAAAATAACATTCCTTTATAATCATAACACAATAAATATTTCCTTTTTGTAAAAGGATAATAGAAATAATATGTTAAAGTTTGACATCTGATATCTAAAAAAATTAAAGTTTTATAAAGCATTACAAAAGTGTTATATTAGAGTATCTAGTTTTGTTGTGTCTTAAAGAATTTGCCCATCCCCAGGGTGCCAACCGCATTAGAAAGAAAGCAACTCTCCTTCCTAACTCACCAGCATTGATTTTCTGTTGCTGGCATGTAGATAAGTATTTCAAAGAATGAATGAAAGCTACAATATTTATTAGAAGTAAAAAAGTTCTAAAGATATGCTGCTTTACTAGGATGCTTAGAGACCATTTGCAAACCCTGTATATGATCTAGAAATCCTGTTTTTCATTTTTTATTTGTAAAGTTCTATAATTCTCAAAACATTTTAGGTGGGTTATCATGTACCTAAGGGTAAAATATAGTTGAAATTATTCTTACCTGATTTTTCATATCTGAATTTGGTGGGCAGTTCAAAGTAATTGTATCACATTCTTCAGCTAGGGGAAAAAAAAAAAGAAAGAAAGAAACAAAGTGTGATTTTAAAAAGCACACACTCCATGGTATAAGACCTAAAATTAAGGCTCAGTGTCACATGCTGCCTTGGCACCTGGTAAAATCAGAAGGGCTGGACTACAAATTCCTCTCCAAACTCTGCTCTTAAGGATAAGATCCCCCTGCTAAACAATGCTCCTTATCAAGAGATTAGGCACAATTCCTGCTTATTTTTTATTTTTTTTTTTTAAATAAGAGACAAAGGTGGGCGAATCATCTGAGGTCAGGAGCTCAAGACCAGCCTGACCAATATGGTGAAACCCCGTCTCTACTAAAAACACAAAATTAGCCGGGCGTGGTGGCACATGCCTGTAATCCCAGCTGCTCGGGAGGCTGAGGCAGGAGAATCGCTTGAACCCAGGAGGCAGAGGTTGCAGTGAGCTGAGATCGTGCCATTGCACTCCAGCCTGGACAACAAGAACAAAACTCCAACTCAAAAAAATAAAAATAAGAGACAGAGGGTCTCACTCTGTCATCCAGGCTGGAGTGCAGCTCACAGTAACTTGGAGCTCCTGGGCTCATGTGATCCTCCCGCCTCAGCCTCCCAAGTGTCTGGGAAGATAGGTATGTGCCACCACACCCAGCTAAGGAAGATACAGGGTCTCACTGTGTTGTCCGTGCTGGTGTTGAACTCCTGGCCTCAACTGATCCTCCTGTCTCGGCCTCCCAAAGTGTGTTGGGACTACTAGCGTGAGCCACTGTGACTGCCCCCTGCCTATCTTTGGGTAGTGGGTTTCAGTTTCCTGCCAACCTGTGGAATTATTCCAACAGGCTGATCATGTCCTCCCATGGGAACCAGAAGGCAGCCCACCCTTTTGATGCCACAGTGTTTGCCTCACACAGCCCACGGTTTTCCGCTCTGCTCTCAGGTACAACATCTGTGTCTCCCCGCGTGGCTCTGCGTGATGGGCAGTGTCCTCCTCCCCTGGGCTGTCAGCATATGTGACTCATAAACTGCTGCTGATCTTGTCTCTCCAGTATTGGGTGTGTGTGTTTGTCCATCCCCATAATCCTAGAGCAGGGGTGAGGAGAAGGTGATCAAAACAACTGGAGTGATAGCCAGGAGTGGTGGCTCGTGCCTGTAATGACAGCTACTCAGGAGGCTGAGGCAGGAGGATCACTTGAGACAGGAGTTTGAGGGCAGCCTGGGCAACACAGTGAGACCCGATCTCAAAAAAATTAAAAATTAGCCAGGCATGGTGGTGTGTGCCTGTAGTCCCAGCTACTTGGGAGGCTGAGAGGGGAGGATCGCTTGAGCCCAGGAGTTCAAGGCTGCAGTGAGCTCTGATCATGCCACTGCACTCCAGCCTGGGGGACAGAATGAGACCCTGTCTCAAAAAAAAAAAAAAAAAAGAAACAACTGGCGTAATGAACAGGATGACCCAACCACAATCAAGGATATTTGGTCAGATTTCATTAATTGCTCTCGGCTAACCAACTTCACTAATACCATGCAGGCTGCCTGGGATGGAATCGACGATTACCGGAAGATTTGCATTCTGGCCTATGCAATGCTGTGTTGTCTCTGTTGATTGCTTGCTATCTCATCCCAAGATGAAAACTGTTGTGAACTGACTGGACCCCAGTGCTGTCAGGTTAGGCCTGTGTTTCGCAGGTGGTCTCCTGAGGTTCCCATCTGTAAAGACGGTCGTAGCACAGCCCCCTAACCGGTTGCTGCTTAAGTCCCACTTATCGAGGGATAGGTGCAAGTTCTCTTAGCAACACAACTAGCTTGGTGACCATCACTGGCCACTTGGGGCAGCTGTACAGACACTGTTTGTGAATGTGCATCCCCAGGTCAGCCATGGGGATGGTCCTTTGCAGACAGAGGTTTGCAGAAAGGAAGGAGAGAAACCAGGGAATTCCCCAGGGGAGTTTCCCTTGTGCCCTGGTTGCTGTTAAGGCCGAGGGCATGACCCTGCCTATCCCCTCAGCTGCTGCTTCCCTTGCTGCTGCCCATGTGTTCTCCTGACCCCCAGGGGCATCGAGGTGCACAGCCATGGCGGTCTGCGGCCCAGGTGCTAACGAAGAAAGAAAAGGGGAAAAAGTATTTAGTACTCAACTGCTCTCTTGGCACACAGCCCCTGGCGAGCGCACCCAGCTGTGCTCAGCGCTGCTGCTTCCAACACACCAAAGAGCTCATCTTGCCATAGTGGGTTTAATGTCCCCACCTGGGCCACAGACAAAACCACCTGACTGGATGAGGACCCCATCCCCAGGGAGACCGACTGGCATTCCCTGGAGGAAGAGGTGGCTGCCTGCGACGGGGTCCACCTGGCTCCCAACCCTGTGCTCATCACCTCCCCGAAGGTCCCTGTCACAGATGATCATATGGAGACAAAAACTGAAAGCCACAACTTTTTGTGGTTAGAAATCCAAAATATTCTGAGGGCATTTGTACAAGAGAGAAAAAATCCCTAAACACATTAGTTAATTAATTAAAGAAAACCCTCATGGCAGAAAAGACAAAGCTGTAGCAGAGTCCCTCCACCTCTGGGTTACAGGCCAGCACTCTTCCATTGGGCTGGACCACGCTGCAGCTTATGCCCCTATTGCAACAAAGATCCTGATCCTCTGAGTTGCAGGGAAAACTCCTGGTAGCCCCGGGGCACAGTAAAAGGGTTAATTCACCCTGACATAAGCCCACAATTTTTAAACTACATGACAGCAACCACTGCCACAGGGAAGGCCCCACCCCTGATTATACGATTTGCGGTTCTCCGTGGGAAGAAATTTATCAATGTGAGCAGAGTAGAGAAGACCGCCCCTGCCAAAAGTATATACAGTGACCATAAAAAGGGAATGAAAGAAAGATAAAAAGAAACCTGGACACAAAGGAGAAGACAGGCCGGGTGTGGTGGCTCACACCTGTAATCCCAGCACTTGGGAGGCTAAGATGGGAGGGTGGCTTAGGGGTCCGGAGTTCAAGATCAGCCCAGGCAACACAGCAAGACCCTTTCTCTACAAAAAAATTTAAACATTAGCTGGGCCTGGTGTCACATGCCTATCGCCCCAGCTACTTGGGAGGCTGAGATGGGAGGATCACTTGACTCCCAGAGGTCAAGGCTGCAGTGATCTGTGATCACACCCCCACACTCCAGCCCTGAGTGACAGAGCAACGTCCTGTCTCCTGAAAAAAAAAAAAAAAGAAGAAGATGCTTCATGAAAAAAAAAAAAAAAAAAAGAAGAAGATGCTTCATGGTGGATTACTACAATTTTATTTTATTTATTTATTTTTTGAGACAGAGTCTTGCTCTGTCACCCAGGTTGGAGTGCAGTGGCATTATCTCAGCTCACTGCAACCTCCATTTCCCAGGTTCAAGTGATTCTCCTGCCCCAGCCTCCCAAGAAGCTAGGATTACAGGTGCCCACCACCACGCCCAGCTAATTTTTATATTTTTAGTAGAGACAGGGTTTCACCATGTTGTCTAGGCTGGTCTTGAACTCCTGACCTCAGGTGATCTGCCCACCTCAGCCTCCCAAAGTGCTGCGATTACAGGCATGAGCCACCGCATCCAGCTGGATTACTACACTTTTATTGCTGTGGTCCCATCCCTTAAGGCTTCCATACCCCATGCCCAATATGATTGGAAAACACTGACTCCATCTGATTAGTGACCAGAAAATATTTTGCTATTACAGATTTGCCTGAAATGTTCTGCTCAGTGACTATCACAATAGTCTCTCAGTCAAAGTTTGCCTTCATCTGCAAAGGGACACAATACATATTTACAAGGCGCCGATGGGGCCTTTCAAGAGCCTGGTCATCACACACGGGCTTTGTAGGCAAGATCGAACTGCATCCCCCTTTCTCAGCCTCATGAGTGTGATGACATTACATGGATGAGATCCTCCTCTGAGGACATTCTCACTTGACATTCTCATGCAGGCCACGCAGTACAGTACTCACAACAATGCTCACAGAAAGAGATGGGCCACTGCCCCCACACACAGTGCAAGGCCCTGCCACTGTGGTGAAATTTCTAAAAATTACTTGGTAAACTAAGGGCTGCTCCCACGCAGACACTGTCAATAAAGAGCTATTGACCCTTTCTGCACCCACAATGTGAATACAAGTCTAGTATTCTTTTAGTTCTTTTTTGGGTTCTGGTGGCAACATATTTCTCATTTACAAATTTAGTCTCATTGATGCCAGTACTTGCAAGTCAGCTCAATGTAAATTTGAGCCCCTTTAATAATAAAGTCTACAGCAGGCAGTCCCATTAGGACCCCCAGAGACCCCAGAGATTTCTGCACTGCAGGGGCTTCAGCAACTTCCTCCCATTCCCCCTGAAGTCTCTGGACCATCCATGACAGCTGAAAGTTGTCCACAGGCTTTTGACGCAAGAAACTGCCCTCCTAGGCTCTGTTCTATACATTATTAGAGCAGTATCTGCTAGCTGCATACTGGGCTCTCTTGGAAGTAGAGGCCATCATTAAACCCTAGCTGTGCCCCTCCACACTGCTCTGTCCATTATGCCTTGGGTCATGGAAGCAAAATCCTGCAAGCTCCGCATGGTTACCAAGGCCTCCTTGATACAGGATAGAGCCAAACCCGGGCCCTCTGGCATATTCCATCTTCAGGAAGGGGTGGCGTCCCCCATCCCTCACCAGAGCCCATGGTGCTGGAAAAAGTCACCCCTCTTGCAGACTCCTAGGTTATCTGGGGAGCCCCTTCAAAGCAACTGGGTGAAGAGCAATGGGAATTTGTAGACTTTACAGATGACATCACCCCCATCATACACGATGAAGCTCAGTGGATAGCTGCTGCTTTCCATCCCTTAACCAGCATATCCCTGATAAAGGAGGGACCCGAGGTTAGCAAAACTGGTCAGACTTCAGGCAGTCATCTTATTGCTGGATGTCCTGGCCAACAAACTGCCCCATCTGCACAGTTTATAAACTCTTGGACCATTGCCTAAGAGTTGCATCCTTTGTGGTAAGG